CCCCTGCCTATATAATCAGGCCCTATTGCCATTGTAAACACAGCTTTGAACATTGAAAATCCTTTACTCTTTGAGTATCCATAAAATAGTGTGATGCTATTTTAGCCAAATTCCTAATTCTATATCTTAAGAGTGGTTATCTTAAGTGTGAGTTTTAGGTTCTAGATATTTGATTAAGTGTGTCATATCTTAATTAAATTCTAGATTCAAACCCCAAGTTAGGATAAGAGTGTGTAATATCTCTTAAACACCAACTTGGTTTATCCATCCCTGATTTTCTCCCATCTCATATCCCTCCATTTCTCCTTCTTAATCCTATTCTTTTCTTCCATAAACTACCAAAAAAGAACTCCTAAAACACCCTCCATACTTTCGCCCATTATTTCCCTTCCATTTTCCTCCGCAAATCTGCCACTAAATTATCAACTTGATAAGACACCCGGTTCACCCCTAACAAATCATGACCAGATACATTACAAAAAAGTTTTGTGAATTATTCATATATAGTGTGCGAACTCCTATTTTGGGGGATAAAAACATAGAGCTCCTATTTTGGTAATTTCTCTATGTTTTGCTCCTATTTAGGATAATTTCTTTCATAACAAGTGATAAACTCGTCACCACCTCAGATTTGATCAAGGTTATAGGTGAACACATAGAGCAAATAGGTGAAAACATCATGAAATTAAATCTGACAAGAACAAGGTATTTCCGAGCCAGAAACAAAAAAACATAAGCATAAAACTGCAGCTATGAAACTGTGTATTCCTATTCAAATGGGTGCCCGAAGTTCTTTTCCAAAAAAATACAGTATATAGCAAGACCTTGTATTTTACATATTCTGTGAAAGATCATCAAAATAATTTTGCAAGTTTGTTCCATGCGTAGTATTACATACTACTTCTAACTCGAACTTAATGTTACGCACAGTTCAACTAAGATTCATCAGGATCAAGTTTCAACATTCAACCTGAATGTCACAAAACAATAAGGTATGTGGCAGGTAGCGAGTTTATGAATATGAATGAGATGATGATGGTTATAGGACAAAGACCAAGTAGGAAAAGTACATGTGTGTACCATTTCCACAATATTAGCAAAATAAATGGTGGGTTACCTGAAATATAGTCATCCTTTCCGTCCTGGCTAACTTTACCATTGACCATCGTACCCACCTGAAATGACAAATTATCACATTAGCTGCATAAAAGAGATCCATCAAGAGGCAGAGAGGTGTGCACTATAAGGTGCAAACACAAAATATAAATGGAGAGAGAAATACCACAAAAACAATGTCCTGTTCATCTGGCAGAGTAGAAACATAGTCCTCTATATCAACCACCTTCTCTGAACTATATGATAGGCCTAGCATGTGTGACAAAAGTTAGTCACTTGCTCTAGCCACATATACTACAAATGGAAACAATATATGTTTCTTATAGGAAGAAAAGTTGACAAGAGCTCACCAATTACACGAGCATTTTCAGGTATATGCTGTGTCAAAGACCCTTTAAGGACTCGGATAAGAACTTCTCCAGTATCTTTGGCACGGACACAAGACTTCTGGAACAGCTCCACTATATATATTGCAAAGTGAGCACTTAGTCAAAACACAAATTGAGAACCTTGAAAGATATCTTAGGATAGTATAGAATAAAGAATGTGTAAAATTCAACTTCAGCTCAGGGAATACTAGACAGATTCTAAGCCTAAAGGAATCATGTCTAGTGATTTTTCATGTCACTAGCTTACACCGGCATAAAAATACTTGCACATCTTGCTATCTTTACTTTAACAAAAACTTACCCATGAGGCCACAGAACCGTTTGGACGTTCTAGGTATACGAGTATGGGGCTTGACCTCGAAAACAACACCAGAACTAGTTCTGGCATAGACAGCTCCAACCATTCCTACTTTATTTAGTGGGCTATCTAAGATTGCCCGAAGTGCCTGCACATCAAAGGCCATCCATAGTTATGAGATTTTTACACACATAAAAAAAAGAACTAAAGCGCAATGGTTCGATATTGTGACAAAATGTATACAATCGTGAAGAATTTTGTAGTGAAACAAGGCAATGTTGATCATCACAGATGGAACATGCATCATACGAAGGGATAAAAGGAGAGCAGAGGTTCAAACCTCGAAAAAAATGTCAGGACGATAATTGTTTGGATTTTTCCCCTGCTTTAACATGAAGGTGCTGTCTTCGCTAGAACTCAGAATCTTACGTTTCTAACAATTCAATAGGTATGGAACAACAATTAACACCATCGGTTAGAAAGCAACGCGATAAAAAAACCTAGAATTGAAGGGAAATTATCTCCTACCTTGTGAACAAGGCCTACTTCAAGAGAGGCATCTTCCAGGATGAAGATGGGGCGGGGTTTCACTGTATGCGCACCGGAAACTTCATGCGTAATTTCGTTGATTACTTCACTCGTCGCCCCTCCGCATTCGCTGCTCCGGTTCTCGTCGTCGCTCTTGTTTGATTCAACAATCTCTTTCCTTTTTTGCTTCCCCATCATCTCACCACTAGGGCTTTACCTTCAGAGAGACCTTGCTTTTGGTTCTGAATTTCTGATCAGTGAACGCTTGTTGAGAGTGTTTAAAGAAAAAAAAAGGAATTAAAAAAAAATATGAAAGAAAAAAATTTAGGATGTGTTTTGTTGATAAGAAAATACTATGGAGTATGTTTTTTTTTTAAAAAAAAATCCAAGAATGAACTCCCTGACAATTTCCATTGTTTTGTAGGAATGTAATTATTTCACTAAAAAAATAATTTTAATTGTTGAGAGATCAAAATTGATATTTAAATATGTTCAAAAGTAAATTTTAAAATATTTTAGCAATATGAGGGTTGATGGTATAGAGTCGGGTGTTGGCACGGAATAAGGAATGAAGAAATAAGACAGACGTCACATGTTGACGAGTGAAAAATGTCAGTACGTTAGAGATAAGAGGTTGGGGATTGGGTAAAAAACCAAATACGGAGTATATTAATGTGTAAAGGGAAGTCGAGCTGGGTATTTTAAAATGTGTAGAGATGATTCATCCGTCTAAACTACTAAACTTATTGTTCCAAAAGTCACACAACAAGATATATATCTACTGTGTTGGTTTGATTAAAACTTCTAGTTGTTTATAGAAAGAAACATAAGTAGTATCTAAAATACTTGTTTTACGATCTTATTAAAATTCTCAAAAAATAATTAAATTTCTTGTGTTTTATCTAAAAATTAATTAGAATACTTGTACCAAAAAATTATTTAAAAAAACACCTAAAAAAATTATTGTTCGTCTCATAGGCCATCGAATTCTCAGGATCGCCCATGGTATGAGAGACAAGGGGTAGGGGTGGCGTGGAGGGCATTGGGTCGTATGGTAGGAGAGGGGGGGTGGTATGGGTTGGGACAGGGGTGGGTGAGTTCGGGTATGTAGGTGGCGGATAAGGGCAGGGGGGAGTGAAAAGAAATTTTTTCTTTGAAAAGAAATGGAATCTATTTTCTCTATATGGGAAAATATTTTCTTACCACTTACATTATCAAACAAAAAAATGACTTGCCTTAATTGAGAATAATTCTTAGTTCAATCTCTTAAAAATAACTAATGACTGATATGATATTAGTTATTTGAAAAAAAATTTAAATTCGTCCTCTCAACTAACAGTCATTAAAACGGTATTAAAATAATGTTAAACACTATACTAATTTCATATAGTACTTCGTAAGTGGATGATTTCTTAGATTGATCTATTTTTGAAATAAAAATACATTAAATATTGATAAACATATTAAATTTTATAAGATGATAATAAAGACTATAAATATAATTTTATAAATTTGAAAGTAAACATTTTAAACTATATACAATTATTTAAAAGAATATCGTGTAAATAAATTATTTAATAAGCACTATTTATTTGCTCGCCCAATTTTGAAAAGGCTTGTTTTGATTTACGAGTTTTGAGTGAAATTATTTTTAAAAAACTATAATTAAAAATTGATTTAGAATTTCAAAATGTATATATTAAAGAAATATGTACAAAGTTCTACAAAATAAGACATGACTCTTGTTTTGTAGAACTTTTTGTATACTTTTTTAATATATATTTTGAAATTCTAGATTTTTTAGTTATAATTTTCAAAAATAATTTTAGTAAGACATCGTAAACAAAAACAATAGCCTTATTTTAAAATTAGGGGACCAAACATATAATGTTTATTAAACATTTTATTTACGTGATATTCTTCTGAATAATTGTAAATAATATAGTCACCCTATAAAATAAAAATATTTTTCCATACTTCATGTATTTTTATTTTAAAAATGAACCAATTGGAGAACACACCTAGTAACAAAGTACCATTTTGGAAATTTCTTATCGAATTTAATGTTGTTTTAACGATCGTTAGTTAAAAGACTGAACTAAAAAATATTCTTAATCAACGATTATCGTCTCAATAGCTAGTTAATTGTGAGGATTCATATAAAAACACATAATTATTGAATACTATTTTCAAAAGTTAGTTGTCCAACCATTGGAACACATGAATTATTGGATCAACGATGTTGACATAAAATTTTGAAATATTTATGTAAGAAAATAAAATTATATGAGTAATAATGTGATTTTTTAAAAAAAGTATTAGTACATCTAGATTTTTAATTTAAAAAAATAGAATTCAGGGCTTTTTAAAATACGAATAAAAATCCAAATACTCGAAGTCCCAGGCAAATTCTTCGGTGGAACGCCCACACTGCCCAACTCGGCCTTTAGCGCGAGCCCGCGATAGCTTTCCCGCAAGGACCTGGTCGACGACCCCGCAGGATTCACCAGTCGCCGCCATATTAACCACCAGTACCCTCCTTGTTCTTCCTCGAGGTTTTTTTTTGTAAGAACCCACTTTAATGTTTCGTCCTAGTCGATTAAATTGGTGATTATGGGTTATGGGTATTTTACATACTACTCCGTAGATTTTTCGATGCCTATATGTTAGAGTTCCAGTGGTGTGATGAACTTTGGGATAGTCATGTCGTAGGTAATAGGTATGTGTGAGGAAAAAGTCCTTAATTGCGCTTGCTCAGTGTGTTTAGAGTAAATATATGGATGTTTCGTGTAAAGGTAAATTCAATTAGGGTCCATTTAGTACACCGAATTGACGAAATTAGAGTTGCAATTCTATGGAATTGAATTTGATGGAATTGAATTCTCCAATTATAATTCATTTTTTGCACCACCAATTTCAAATCTACATATTTTTGTGCTACCAAACGCCAGAATTGGAATTGAAGCTCTCAATTTCAATCCTATAACTTAATTCCGTGTACCAAACAGAGCCTTAGTTGATTTTTAAGTTTTATAGAAAAATGTCAGCGTAATACTCCCTCTTACCTATAAATAGAAACTTCCCAAAATGGGAAGTTTGAAGAAAAAATAGGAATGGAGGAAGTATAAATTAACATTTGATTTATGATAATGATGTTATGAGTAATGGTATTTGGTAGATTTTGTGCTACTATTAGCATGGCTAAGTTTTTGAGTTAGTTAGTGGAGGTTTTAATATGTTAGGAAACTAAGTCGTGAAGTCTAAGCTTACCTGTGTTTATTCACTAGTATGGGTATGCATGTAGCAAACTCATGCTTGTTGAGTGTCTTTTAGTGATAGGATATTGCAAGAGGCTTCTTTTTGACGTGTCTAAAATATTTGACTGAAAGTGTTAGCTTCGGTGATAAATAGTTGTGGAGGATGTAAATTGTTGTGGGTACTTGTGAGAGTATATTAAGGAAGTTTTTATTATGGTCTTGTGTGAAAGTTCTTGGCTTCTTGCTGTATTGCTCTAACTGCCATGTCTTTATTAAAGTAGCGAACTAAGTGGTGAATGCCTATGAGTGATGGATAGTAATGTGAGTATCGTGCTGCTTGATGTTGTAATAAATATGTTTTATTGATGGGCCTACGTGTATTGTGAATATTATGGAAGTTGGGATTGATAAGTAACATGATTCTAAGGATATGTGATATTGTAGTCAATTTTGATTTGTAGAGTTTAATGTTCTGTGTGGGGGAGCTAGGGATTCGAATGTCTGGGCTTATGTTTTGTAAAATTTGGGGAAAATTGCCTTAGCAAATATTTATTAATTGTTGCTTTATTCTTCTACTATATCATACGGAGTATCATTCTTCATCTTGTAATTTTGTTGTTCACATGGCAATTGATGCATTTCCAGTCCCTCTCCTACATATTTTATTTCCCAATGGGTATTGAAACACCTATATACTCTGTCTATCAAGACCCTTTGTTCTCAGCCTCTCCAACATGTTCTCTTTAGATTTTGTATCTGGGGCAATTGTTAATCATTTGAAATTGAATGATCTGATGTTTTAGCACTTGGTGTTTTGGAACGATTGCCAAGCTCATGGACATAGCTGTTAATTGTTAGATATTTTAGACTGAAGAAAAAAATGATTACTTTTTTTAAGATTTGTGGTAAGTTGTTAGGCCATTAACTTATTGTTCTCCGGTTTAGTTTGATGGAGCACCCTAGGATTGTGGCTTATGTCTACCCTTGCTCACTATCACAATGACTACTTATAACTCCTCATGGATTTCCCATTTTCCCCCATTTTTCTTATTATTTTGATTATCATTACTGAAAACATTGAAGTGTACTTCAATGTTGAGTTTAGGTTCAATTATGCTGCTCTAGGGGCCCATTTTACTTTTCTCGCCCAGGCTCTAGGACCAGCCCCCATATGAAATAGTGCACTGCGAGGAAAGACAAGAATTTGATGATGTGGCTACTGTAGTAGAAGATGAAGAAAGATTAAAGAGGCACTGTGGAGGAGCGAGAGAGATGGCATTAAATGCAGGTTGAGCAAATGTGTGAGGGTTTTTTGGCGGTTTGGTGGTGTTGGGGCCTAGTTATAAAGCCCATTTCAAAATTGACTATATTTAAGACAGTTCTATAGGCGAAGAGCAGTTTAGGCAGGCAACAACTAGTATCCAATTCGACCCATGAAGGGTAACCGTGCCCAAAATTTGCTAAAGTGTCTCATGAATTTCTGCCCGTGCTCAGAATACTAGCTAGACATGGAAAAAACAAAACCGAACCCCAAAATCCGACTTATAATGCCCGTACCCGTACCTGAAGAATAGACCTGATATGAATAGACCCGGTTTCTAGATCACCCAAATCAAATCTGACCTGAACAGACTAGTTTTAATAACAATAATGATTATTACAGTATATAATAAGCGTATTTACATCAATATTATGATACCCGAATACCCGATTCAGAACTTAATAGAAATGACTCAACCCAGAATTGGCTAAGCGAAAAATGAGACAGCCAAATTTATACCCGAACCGAAATAGACTCCGATCAAAATAGAACTGATAGCCCCATAGTGCCAGTTCTAATACCGCTGTCTGAAAAGTATTGAACGCGAGAAAGTCCTGGAGAATAAAGGTGGTAGACAACATCTTTTTGTGTATATTTTATCGGCTTTGAATTATTCTTGTTGATCCTTTAATTAGGTAAGAAAGTAAGATTTCATGTCGAATAATATTTACTAGGTCTCTGTTTTTTGTTGACTTGATATCACATGTTATAAGTACTCCCTCCGTCCACATTTAAAGTTCCCGCTTTGACCGGGCACGGAGTTTAATAAAAGTTAAAATTTACGTTGACTTTCCCAAACTACCCCTCAACCTTGCCCACAACCCATCCATATTGACTGCCGACTGCCGAGGCTGTCCCAAGTTCCTGCGGCCCAACCCCATCGTTCCACAGAAATTCCGGCGGCCGAAATCCGGTGAATCCCCGGCCAGTGTGAAATTCCGGCGATGAGTGAGTTGAAAAAAGATTTGAATCAGATTTCTTCATCGACTCCAAAGAAGATGAAGATGAAAAAAATCTGAAGATGATTCTTCATCGATTCACAGATCTGAACCGATTTTCTCATATCCGACGATGAAGAAGAAGAAAAAATGAAAGGACAAATCGAAAGGGGAAAAAAGAGGAAGACGAAAAAGTAGAAGAAGAAGAATAGAATTGAAAAATCAAAAGGGGGGAGAAGGGGAAGAAGAAGAAGAAAAAAATCGGGAGGAGATGATGATGAAGAAAGGAAAATTCAGAAGGGGGGAAGAAGAAGAAAGGAAAAATCTAAAGAAGAAGAAAGAAAAGTAAGAAAAAATCAGAAGGGAAGAAAGAAGAACAGAGAGAAGGGAAGAAGAACAAGAAAAAGGAGATAAGAATCCCAATGTGCGGACGGGAAAAAGGAAAAAAAAGAAAGAAAAAAAGAGGGGAAAGGAAAAGAAGAGAGGAAAAGTAAAAGTTAAAGAGGGTATTTAAGTCTTTTTAACAAAAGAAAGTTTCTAAAAAAGGAAATGAGAACATTATTTGTGGACGGACTAAAAAGGAAAGTGGGAACTTTAAAGTTGGACGGAGTTAGTATTACTTAAGTCTTTTGATTTAGCTAACACCAGCTTAGCATACCCTGTTCTCTTGAATCCAGGATTCACCCTCTCTCTCTCTCTCTGTTTTGCCTCTCCTACTCCTCAAGTCAATGGCAGATCCCGAATCCAGGGGTGCACCCTCTCTCCCTATGCACAACGGTTGAATTTGATTTAAATATATATTCTTTACTTCCCATCTATCTCGATCCCTTTTATCTCATGTTTTGTGTTAGATGGATGCAAATTTTATGTCTGTTTTTTTTCCACCTTGTTTGTTTTACCAAGTGTTTCATGTTATGTCTGAAGTGGTACTCCTAAATTGAGCAAGACAATATACACATTGTGTATGTTATGCATGTTGTATCCCTATGTTTGTTATTTTGCCGATTGGATATTTGTTTTCTTATTGGCCACGTTTTATTGTAGGAGCTTTTAATCTGATGCAATATTGTCCAATATTTTCTCTCGAAACTTACTTGCCCAATTTACGGGGCTTGATATGAATTTAAATAGTACTAATGAAAATGCAATGGAGGATTGTTTGGTTGATGGGTCTTTTGAAGTGTGCTAATTGGGAATGGTAGACACGTAGGCCATGTTCTCTTCACCTAATTTGATTGGTTTTGATCTAATTGGAATAAGTTCTAATCTGATTTGGACTAATTTGAATGTAGTTATATTTAAAGCTATTTCTAATCTGATCTGGTCTGGTCTGATTTGGTTCCAATAAGAATAAGTAATAAGTAAAAAAATAAGTTGAAGAGAACATGGCAGTAGACTTGACTTATTAAGGGTTTTCCCCCCACCAACAGCAAGGCACATGCTGTGGTGGCTGCTTGGCTCCGAGGAGTGTGTGCGCGAATTGATACCAATAGAATTTAGTCTATGTTTACTAGGATCCAAAAACGAAAGCGAAAGTCAACATCCTTGCAGTCATGCTCTACCAAAAAGAGGGCTGAGTTGATAAATGATGGCAAAGAAGGTCTGAACAATAAGGCGTTAAATTTGGTGGGTGTTTGTGATGGTGAAGTGAGGCCTGATGAATTCAAACAAGGAGATGAAGAAAGTGATCTTGTGGGCATTCCTATGCCAATCCCTGGCCATTCTGATCATCAAGGAAGTGTTACATTTGTTCTTGAGGAGGCGTCATTAACACTTGCTTATATTGGCAAGGTAAGTGCATCTTCTTGCCAATAGTTCACTCTTTCGTCTTGGTAGACGTATGATTGTATTTGATATTGTTTTCTAGTAATATTCTAACTGTTCTTGTTACAACTCTCAGAGGTACCAGATACTTTCTTCTGATGAGCATGCTGATTATTTGCGGAAAAAGAAGTTGAATCCTTACGACTATCGGCCTGACATAGTTCACGAGGTCTCTCTGCTCTTCTGCTCATTTCTTGTCTGTATTGTGGACCACTTTGGACTGCTTTGCATTCTCCATTTGTGCTGCCTGTATCTTCAGTGCTCACACTTTTACAAAGTAGATGGGGAATAGAGGGGGTAATTGTGATGCCGTCAGAAATGTAACTAGAGAGCGCTTCGCGCTTGCATATATAAGAAAGACAATTTAGCGGGCAAGTTTGCTTTATTCCATCATGCACTGGTAGTTATAAACAAAGCAAAATGTATTGGTAATGAGAGTACGGATGGTCACTAACATAGCATTCTTTATCAATTGCTATTGCACTCACTTGTTACCCGTGTGCTTGAAATGCTCCCACACGTGACACGTTGCATAGTAAAGGGGGTAGGATGTAAGCAATTTTACTTGTGTACTAAGAAATAGAGAAGTTGTTTCTTGATAACCCATGATATAAGTTGATACAAAGGTTACATTCTGCTTTCTTCTTTATTACTACAAAGCGAAGAATTATTGAATCTTTGGCTCCCGCTGGAATCAATAGGGAAAAAAAACTTCTTGCTTAACTTGGTTCCGAAGATTCAATCTGCGAGCACCTTTCCATTTGTAGTTTAATTACTAAAAGGATAAATGCAATTTCTCTATAGAGAACAGAATAAGAAGAGAATTTCCTCTTTTTTTTTGGGAAAGGATTGGGGATTTGGGCTTGTATAGTCTCAATATATTTGGGTATTACTACATCCGTTTCCCTTTATTCTTCACACCTCTCTTTGAAACACAATTTAAGGCAGGAAATTAATGCTCATTTTCCATTCTTCACATTCTATGCTTTATTGTTTTGCTTGAAATTGAACTAATGCTCTGTTCAGGCACTCCTTCAAATTATGGATAGTCGACTTCGTATGGCTGGTCGGTTGAGTGCAGTATACATCAAGACAAATGGAGGAGCTTTGATCAAAGTAGAACCATTTGCTCAGATTCCGAGGACTTTGGCAAGTTTCCGTAACATGATGGGTAAGTCGTTTTCTTCTGTTTGATGTAAAAAGGTTTGAGATCACCTCATTGCCTTTATGTTTGCCCTTCATATTTTCCAGCCCGTACCTTCTAACATCTGTAATGCTGCAGCTGAATTGCTTCAAAAGCTCTGTATCAAAGCAAAGGGCAAGGGTATAAAGCTGTTGCGCCTGGTTGACAATCCAGTGACGAAGCATTTACCTTTCAACTCATACAAAATAGGTGAATATGTCGACTAACACAAGAGTGAAGTTGTTTGTGGCTTTGGTAGTTCCTAATATAACTTGTGCCACTTCAGGTCTTTCATTCAGCTCAGAGAAAGCAGTTCAACTGCGGGATTATATTAAGGGAATCCGTAGCAATAGTGATGTGGTGTTTGTGGTGGGTTTCCGTACACCTTGACTTCGTTGAGTTTTACATAGCCTGTTGGCAGTTCATGCTTTATAAAAACGAGTGATCTCCTGAGAATTTTCAGGTTGGTGCAATGGCTCATGGTAAAATTAAATGTGATTACATTGAAGACCTTGTATCAGGTATCATGCTTAATAGATTTCTTGTTTTTATGTGTGTTTTTCATGCACTGATAATGGAACTAGTAATGTCCCTTGTTCACTTATTTGCAGTGTCTCCCCATCACTTGAGTTCAGGGATTTGTTTGAGACGTATTAGTACTGCCTTGGAGAGGATGTGGAGCATTTTATGAAGCGCGCCGAAGCGGCGTCTCTTTTCTGTTCCATCTAGCACGCTACTGATTTATCATTATATACCTTAACACTTTATTTATGGGTTTTTTATTGACCTAAAAGGGTGGAGGTTATTACATGAGTTGTGTAATGAGCCTAGAGCAGAATTAATTTTTGCCCTCATAGAAAGAGGTGAAACAACTTATTGAGCACATATAAATGATATATTTGGCTCTGTTGATCGACTAGAAAAAGTTGCTGTTTTTTTTTTTTATGTTTTTGCTCTTTGGTGTTTGTTTAAGAGGGTCAACTGTGAAGCGCGAAAACAGAAAATGAGTTGTAGAACCCAGAAACTAGGGGTGTTCATTCGGTAAAACCGAACCGAACCGAACCAAAATTTCGGTAAACTGAAATTTTGGTAATTTATTTTTTGTACCAAATACCGAACCGAAATCAAATGGTTCGGTTCGGTAAAAGCCAAATTAAATCAGTTTGGTAATCGGTTTTACCAAAAACCGAACATAAACCAAAATTTGAACTTTAAAAAATTCTTTTCATTCTCCAAATTGAAAATAACAAAGCATAATCCATTATATATAAATACATTACACACTCCAAAATTAAAATAAAGCAACACAATTAGAACCATTACATAAATTAAACAAAATAGTTGATACAAATAACAGAATTGTCCATTCCGAAATATAAAAACATTTACCGGTATTATTAATTTGATGCTTTTATGATTTCCAAATTTAGATAATAGGACTTAAAATAGTGGGGTGAATATTCATTATTTCAATATTGAGATAAATATTGGGAATTGAATTGAGTAGAAATGGATAAAATTATAAATAAGTATTAAANGAAAACTAATTTTTTCAAAATATGAGAACTGAATACCGAACCGAATTATTCGGTTCGGTTTCGGTACATACCAAATTGTTCGGTTTCGGTTCGGTTTACCAAATTGTGCACACCCCTACCAGAAACATTTCTCTAGCGAGTTGCTTGGACCAATTTAACTTGCTAAATCTACTTCAATTTTTTACTCCAATATTTCTTTTCATATACAAAACTAAAGTATAATAGTACTCCGTATATAGCTAGGAGAGGAATAAATATTTTGGAAGGTAGATTGGTGAAACTAACTATTTAAAGGAACACAAACCTTATCAAACCCTAAACTATCTACAGGAAGGAACAAACGCACGATTAATTGGGAGAATTGCATGGATATGGCTACGGTAATTCTTCGATTTCCCCCAGTCTCTTTGCTCAATCCTTTTCGTCTCTATCATAATTATTGTTATTCGTTTTTTGAGATCTCCGTGGAACAAATAAAGTTCCATCACGGCGTCCTCTGGTGTAACGGATTCGTGGCGTACCCGGTTCGGATTGGGCTTAGATCCGACGAATCGGTGCCCGATTAATCGATTTTTTTTATTATTTTTTATTTCTAGTTTGGCTCTGCGGTTTGCTTAGTTATTATGCGTTGGATATGTTTTTTCTGACAGTTTTTTTTTTTTGTTCTCAGAATATGTCCGGCTGTTTGGGTTAATTTGTTTTTATGGTTGTTTTCATTCTTGTTATTGCTGTCTGATTATATTGCTGTTTTTAGCTTTTTTTTTATTCTTTTTTACTTTTCTACGGAGTATGTCATTTAATGTGTTGTCAAATCTTATTTGTTTGATATTATTTCAATAAGAATAAGTAATACGAAGTAACAATAAGTTGGGAAAGAACACGAAATTTCACTGAATAATAAATAGTACGGAGTAATAAGTAATAAGAATAAGTTGATTTTGAATATGTTCGAAATCAATACATTGTTTATAAGAACGGATTATTCACTCATCCAAAATCAATGCACTGAAATTTCATGTCTTACAAATTACTGTAGGAACCAAGTAAAGACGAATCTCTCAGCACACCTCCAAAGAATCAAACGGGGCCAAAAGGTAATAATATGTTTGTTTTTCATTAATGCTTCTATTACTTTTATTTTTTAGTACTTGTCATTGTTATTATTATTATTATTGAAAAAAATGTTTGGGATACAGGAAAGTGTACCCTAATTTGTACCCCAGGCCCATCTTCACCACAATCTTTTTGATATTTGAATAAAAAATATTAAAGCTATCATAAAAATTGTGTGATTAAATTAATGCTTGGGTACAAGCTCGTGGTACAAGCTTATTATTATGATTACTTGGTTAGCTTATTAGGTACTAATGAATCTTTTGCATCGTATATATGCTCTCAGTGTCAGATGAATTTGCATTGGTGACTGTGTGCTTTGAGTACTCAATGTTCATGACTTTGATTGTCGTTGCAAACGTTGGGATCGAATTGGACCCCATCATATCAAAGTTGGGAGTGGTCATAGAACTTCTTAAGTTGTTTCTCGCAATGCATTTGGCCACTCACCCACCAAAAGAATACAAATTTATGGGAAGGGAAATGCGATGCGTGGCTGATATTCTCCCCGTGGGCTTTGCCATGGCTTTGGCCTATATTTATCCATATCACATGGGATACGTTGTCGTTTTGTCTTGTTGGACCGTGCATTGCTACATACTCGTCCGTTTATGGTGGGGTGTATATAACTTGGTAGGTTTTTGGGATATCTTAGTGACAATGCCCGTGCAAATTTCCTCTTACTGGTTCGTGGCCCCCAAGATTGCCAACATGGATCATCCACTCGTGCTCTTTGCGATGGCACTTGGCTTCTGGACCACTATTTCTATCTATCGTACTCGTACCTCTTCTGGTCATCATCTTCCTCTAATTTCTGAGAAATATGCCGTGTTACCCGATTGTTGACTCCTCCCCAGCACCAATTGGATTTCTCTGTCTCAAAATAGAGTACGTATTTGCATGCACATCTATCTAAGCTTTATTAGACTGATTATAATAGCAATACTTGGGTGCTTATGCTCCCACTTTTATCATACCAAGTATTTATTGGTTTGGTATAAATTTTTTGATGTACTTTTAATTTTAGTTTTGAATGTAGTCATAAATTTGTACACTTGTTTTCTTTCTAATTCATTGACGTTACTTGTATGCATAGTTATCACGTTGCCAAGGCGAGTCGCGGCGCCAGTGTAACGCCATGACGCCTAGGTGTCTAGGCGCCCGCCTAGGCGACTATAAGGCGACTAGTAGTAAATGATAATTGCTATACATACACTAATATAAATATATCACATTATATGATGTAGATAAAGTTTAAATTTCAAATTTCGAAAATTTAACATCCATATTTCGTCAAGTCTGGCCTGAAACCATATTTCCATCCTGGATCGTTTGAATTGGCCTTTCGTTTTGGGTCGTTTGGATCAATCACTTCATTGTTTGACTGTTCTGCCATGGTATTGCTCTATAAACCTGTTAAAACCACATAATTTAACATAATAAATAAACTATTCCCAGCCATTTAACTAACAAATATACAAACATTTTATTTTTTACAAAAGAACATTTAAAAAATTTAATTTTTTTACAAAAGAACATTTAAAAAAATTATGTAATATGGCAGAGGAAGAATTAAAAAGTACTTTACAGTGGTTGGCAAAAAATTCAAAATTTTTTTGAAAAGAAGATTAAATCATTAATCATTATTAAGAAATAAACCTTTAAATAATGCTGAGCAAAGTGGAGTAGTAGAGGAGTGATACTATTTGTATAAACAATT